CAGCAGGCCAAGCAGCATCAGAGGAGCAGGAAAGCTGACGTTTCAGGCCTAGACCCTTCTTCAGAAGGGTTTTCTGAAGAAGGGTCCAGACCCGAAACGTCAGCTTTCCTGCTCCTCTGATGTTGCTTGGCCTGCTGTGTTTATCCAGCTCTACGCCTTGTTATCTGTTATTTAAGAACATGGGATTGGGATGTCATAGCTATTACAGAAACTTGGCTGAGAAATGGACAAAACTGGCGGCTCAATGTTCTGGGTTTTAGATGCTATAGGAAGGAAAGAAAAGAAGGCAAGAAAGGAATGGGAGTGGTGATTTTGATTAAGGAATACATAACTGCTGTGACTATGGAAGATATTTCTCAAAAATTGTCCTGTGAAAATATAAGGGTAGAAATTACAAGTAAGAAAGGATGGGATTGTACTATAGGCCCTCTGCAGTCAGAGGGAAATTGAGAAACAAATATGTAGGGAGATCTCAGATATATGTAAGCGTAATAAGGTTGTAATAATGGGGGATTTTAATTTTAATTTTTAATTTTAATTGAATAGTGTTGTAGAACAGAGACACCTGGGGGTGCAGGTACATAATTCTTTGAAGTTTGCGTCACATATAGGGTGGTTAAAAAGGCATTTGGCACACTTGCCTTCATTGCTCAGTCCTTTCAGTAGGAGTTGGGACGTTATGTTGAGGTTGTACAGGATATTGGTGAGGCCTCTTCTTGAATACTGCATCCAGTTCTGGTCACTCAGTTATAGGAAGGATATTGTCAAACTGGAGAGGGTTCAGAAGAAATTTACTAGGAGGTCGCCAGGTATGGAAGGTGAGTTATAAAGAAACGCTGGATAGACTGGGACTTCTTTCATTGGAACGTAGGAGGTTGAGAGGCAACCTGATAGAAGTTTATAAAATAATGAGAGATATAGATAGAGTTGATGGTAGTTGTCTTTTCCCTCGGATGGGAAATTTCAAGATTAGGGGCACATTTTTAAGGTGAGACGAGAGAGATTTAAAAAAGACATGAGGCAAATTTTTTACACAGAGGGTGGTTTGCGTGTGGAATGAACTTCCTGAGGAAGTGGTAGATGCGGGTGCAATTACAAAGGTTAAAAGATATTTAGATGGATACATGAACAGGAAAGGTTTGGAGGGATATGGGCCAGGAGCAGGCAGGTGGGATTAATTTAGGTTGGGATTACATTCAGCATGGACTGGTTGGACTGAAGGCTCTGTTTCAGTGCTGTATGACTCTATGAGATGTTGTTCCTCCAGTTTGCGCTGTGATTCACTGGAGCACTGTAGCATGCTGAGTACAGATAAGTGGGCATGCAAGCAGGATGCTGTGTTGAAATGATCGACTATGGGAAGGTCGGGATCATGCTTGTGCCCAGACTGGAGGTGTTCTGGAAAGTGGTCACCCAGTCTGCATTTGGTTTCTCCAATGTACAGTAGGCCACATCGGGTGCAGCGAATACAATACACAAGATTGGAGGAGGTACAGGTGAAATGCATCTTCACCTGGAAAGACTGTTTAGGCCCCTGGATGATGAGCAGGGAGCTGGTAAAGGAGCAGGTGTTGCACCTTCTGTGGTTACATGGGAAGGTGCTGTGGGATGCGGGGTGGTGTTACTGGTCACGGAATGAACCAGGGTGTCCTGGATGGAACAATCCCTGTGAAATACAGACAGGTTGTTGGTGGCGGTGAGGGGGGCAGTTTGTTGTTGGTGAGGGGATGATGTGTTTGGTGGTGGCGTTCTGCTGGAGGTGTCTGAATGGCGGAGAACGATTCTTGGAACGCAGAGGCTGGTGGGAAGAAATGTAAGGACAAGGACGACCCAATTGCACTGAGTGATGGGCAGAAGCAAAGACGGAAGCATGGGTGATAGGTTGGATGGCATTGAGGGCCCTGTCAACCACTGTGGCCAGGAGACTGCAATTAGGGAAGCAGCAAGTCATGCTGTTTTGGAAGATGGCATCATCCAATCAAATGCGACGTAGGCAAAGCAAGTGGGAGAATGGCTGTTGGAACCACTGATTATCTCTATAACAGGGGCAATGATGAGCTTAGGTATAGCAGAGAATATTGTTCAATGTTAATTACAGCATTAAAAGTAGCAAGCACAATTAATAGGGAAGGATGACTGCAAATTATTTAAAGTCAACATCTGTTAGTAAATTGGACAGAAGAATGCCAGGTGAAATTTAACACAGCTATGTCAAGTGATTCATTTTAGAAGGAAGAATGGGAGAGAGTACCACACTAAATGGTAAACCTTTTAAAGGAGTAGAGGAGCAGATAGACTTAGGGGCTCAGAAACAAATCTTTTAAAGTGGGTGGATGTTGATAAGTTGGAGATCAAACTTGTGACGTACTTTTGAAGATGGAAGTAGAGAGAAACAATTTCCGAAGTGATTGAGTAAAGAATCCACTATGCAGAAAGAGAATTCATAATAGCTTTATGAACAAAACTTTGCTAAGAAAAACATACAAAGGTATGCCAAAATGCAAAGGGAATGAAATTAATTAGGATAGCTCAGGGAGCCAACACCAACAGTTGTGATGGGTTGACTGAGAGCTTCTGTGCTGTGAATTTCCATGATTCTATATATTTAACGGAGGAGATTACAATATAGTGACAAGACTTCAATGTGGTAAAATGTGCAAAATTACCCTAATCTGGTTACAGCCAGTTGGACAGCAGATACACTCGATTAAGGGAGGCAGGTAAACCTCTCCATTCCTTCTAGAAATGCAAAAGCAAAAGTGAAAAAAAATTCAGAAGTACCTTAAGTTTCAATGAATCCGTATCGTACGGACTTGGAATAAAATCAGTGTGGACCTGAGCTCGGCCACAGAACGGTCCCTGATAAGCGGATTCTTCATCCTCACCATCTTCTGACTTCACACTCTCTCTGTTACTGGCTGATGAATCTGTGGTACTCACTGTCTGACCACCTGAAAAATAGGGAAGTGAGTGCTTGGAGTTATTATGATTCATATTCTCCAAAGTAAGGTCCAATTCTCCTCCCTCCTGCGCTTAAATTTTTTTTCCTCCTTGTTTCATGGCAAGTATTATTAGGAAATGTAACTTCTGATGGGTTTGTGGGAGATACGGGTTTCAAGTCACAGTGTAATGTCCAATACATCCTTTTAAGCTTTAGCTAGTAACATGACTCCTTTTATTCTTTGCAAAAGAATTGGCCTGGTTATTAAGATTTTAAAAAAAACTCTAAGGATAAGTATTTCTCCTCAGCACACATGGGAATCGTAGTTGTCCAGGTGAAGAAAGAAAGAAAACGAGGCAGATTTCAGCAGGAGAACCCAGAAAAACATTACAACTGTGGTGGGTGTAGGTGTTGTGTAACAGCATGAAACTTGGCTTTCTGCCTCCTTTTCTCTGAAATGAAGAATCCTAAACTCTGACTCCTGCGAGTTGAATTCTGAATGCCGAATTGGAGGTACATTTCACCCCCATCCCTTAAAATTTCTGGAAAGAACATCTCAGTGGCAAGTGCTACCAACACAGGTTTTTGAGGACTTTAACTGTGCTCCTGTTTCTTAACTCAATTTTAAGGCCTAAGCTTCAGGCAGAGAAAGCAGGGCATGCGGATGTCCAGTGCTAGAAAATCATAAACTCACTGTACTAGGGTCTAGGCAGGAAAACCAGGGTCTATTTATATATTTTAATGATTCTCATTTTGAGTCAGAGTATAGCAATGTAGCAGCTTGTTTCTCTTCCTGTTTATGCACAGCAAAACTAAGATTTAGACACATGCTGAAAATCAGGTTGTCAACTCTGGTTGGGATTTCTGGAGATTTAATCACATGACCTCTCATTTCCAACCATCCTACTCCCTCTCCTCCATTCATGTCAGTAATCCGTCATCATGACATTGCATCTTTCAAGGTCTAATTGAAAAGCAAAGACTCTTTCTATTCAATAGTATTAATATTATCACAACCTATTTTACAAACTTCCAAGCTAAGAATATTAAATGTTCCTATGACTGTTCTCCCTGATTTTTTCTAACAGCATCCTAAAGATTACTTTTCAATTTATGAATACTCCGAGACCACCTGGGCCAACCAAGCTGAGTGATGAAAGGACACTTACTCATTGAACTCTGCCCACTCAAGGAGCTCCGCAGGCTCTCCACTGAGCCACCGCCAGTCAGCTTGGGTCTGTCTGGTTGGACAGACTTATCTGTTGGATCTGCAGTCTGAGCAGTAGACATCAGTCCTTCGGAAGGCAACTGGGGAGAAAGGGAACACATTGGTTGAACATTATGAAGTTTCTTCCACTTTTTTGTTCTATTCTGAACACCCCAATCCTAGGTAATGTAATTTGACATCAGAGTACCCTCCAAAAGGCTAAAAATAATGGAGATTTGAAGAGTCTTAGTGGTCCAGGTATACAGGTCATTTAAAAGCCACAGACAAGTACAGAAAATAACTTAAAAACCTAATGGAATACTTACCATTAATATCAAAGGAACAAGAATGCAAAGGGATAGAAGTCATGCAACAGCTATATAAAGCCCAGGTTAGATTACATGGTGAGCTATCTATTCGGTTCAGAGCACTACACTTTAGGATTGGCTTTGGAATGAATGCAGCTAACGTCATTCTGGGACTTTGCATTGACCAGAAACTGAACTGAATGTGTCATATAAATATAGTGGCTACAACAGCAGGTCAGAGACAAGGAATCCTGCAGTGAGTAACTCACCTCGTGACTCCCCAAAGCCTATTCACCATCTATAAGGCACTTGTGAGGAGTGTGATGGAATATTCCCCACTTGCCTGCATGGGTGCAGTTCCAACAACATTCGAGAAGTTTGACACCATGTTGGACAAAAAGCCTACTTGATTGGCACAACCACAAACATCCACTTCTGCCTCAGTAGCAGCAGTGTATACAATAAGTTGCACTGCAGATATTCAAAGATCCTTAGACAGCACCTTCTATAACCATGACACTACCATCCAGAAGGTTAAGGACAGCAGATACATGGGAACACCACCATCTACAAGTTCCCCTCCAAGCCTCTCACCTTCCTGACTTGGAAATATATTACTGATCCTTCACTGTCACTGGGTCAAAATCCTGTAGCTCTCTCCCTAATGGCATCGTGGATCTACTTACGGTAGGTCAACTACAGTGGTTCAACAAGGTAGCTCACCAACACCTTCTCAAGAACAAGCAGGGATAAGTAATAAAGGCTGGTCCAGCCAACAAAGCCCATGTCCCGCAAGTGAATAAAAATAAACAATTTTATGAAAACTGCAGCTATTCCTTTCAAGAAAACAATGTTATTAAAAATTCCACGCACAAAAGATTATGGAAATCTGGAGCAGGCTTCCACAAAGGTTACTGCATGCTAAATTAAGTCTTAATTTTCAATCTGAGATTGCTCAATTTTTACTAAGGGACATGGGACAGTGAAATTAGATTACAGATCAGCCATGACCAAATTAGATGGCAAATTAGACACAAGTGTCGAACTATTCTTCTATTTCTGTGTTTCCAGTGTGGAGGAGAAAAATGTCATTAGACACTCCATATAGAGACATGAGGGAAAAACAGATGCTGATCGGGGAAGGAGAGATAATTAGGAGAAGTGACCAAAAAGCTTGGTCAAAAAGAGAGGTTTTGGAGAACGGTCTTAAAGGGAGATGGAGGAAGGGAGGGATTACTTACCTGGGGAGGTGTAGTACCACTGTACGTCTTTGTAATCTTTCTCCTCACTGTCTCTTTCACCGACTTGACCTTCCTGCTCAGTGATTTCCGTGAATTTGTGGGGGATTTTGCTGTGCTCACCTTCTCATTACTCATCCCTTCTTTACCAATGTACTGGTGGATAGAATAGAACATCATCACTTCATAAATGGAACTCAGTAGAGATCTTATATTTCCAGAACTCAGTAGGCATCTCATATTTCTCCAAAATGGTATTTTGTACGGATTAGAGTCTTTATTTCCAGCAAACTCTGAACAGCGAGTTTGCGTTAACTCGTTAGGCCAATGTCATGTTGCCCAGTCCCATACTTTAGAAGCAGCCAACTTGCATGTTTATTGTGACAACTTCTTATTTTTGTAACATACTTTAAGCATATTAATATGTAACACAGAAACATAGCAGTCATTTTACTGCACTAGTAATCCTGAGATCTTGATTCACAATCCAGCAAATGAGAGTCCAAATCCCACTGTGACAATTTGAGAATTTGAATTCAGTTTTAAAAGTCTGGTAATAAAAAGCTAGCATCAGCAAAAGAAATTGTGAAGCTGTGCAACTGTTGTAAAAATCCAATTGGTTCACTAATATCCTTTGGGAGAAAGAAACCTATCCCTTTATGACTCCAATCCTGCACCAATATGGTAGAATCTTAACAGCCCAGCAAGCTCTTCAGCAAACTTCTACTTGCATTTTATAAAGGTGGCCCAGCATAATGACCTCACACAACCAGGGATAAAATACCACTGGTGTTGTGACAGAGAAATTTAGCAGCCAACTGGGGCACAGCAAAATCCTACTTGTAACCATCATGGAACAACTGGAAGCATGCATAGGAACCATCTCTCGGCAATTTGAACGTTGTTTGTGGGACCTTGTTGTGTCTCTTGCCACTTGTTGGCTACAGGAGCCAACCCATCAACCTCAATACAGGAGCCACTTCAAGATGAAGGAGAACAGAAATCCAGTGTGTAAAGTAACGCACCTAGATCACTGCAATCGGGTGCAACGTGCCTAGAATATGAAATTCACAGTCACTGAAGTTATGGATATCAAAACAAAAAGACCTTTAGCTCTTAGCCATTCGAGACTGAAAAGCAGCAAGGAGACACCTCATTATTGGATCACGAGGGGTTAACAATTCCTATGAAAACACCACTGTACTGACATAGATTCATCACCCTGAGGTTTCCAAGTGCTGCGTCTTCCAGCAACCCCACCCAAACACAGCACACAGAATAACTGGTTAACCATTTCAGTGAAGGATCAGGATTTGAATATGGAGAAAATCAGGACTCACTTGGCTGCACTTAATTTCATTTCTTCTCTCCACCTTTGCATATATTATTGAATACCTGCTATTGCTTTACGGATTTTACTTACCCTTGCATGGAGTTACTCAACCAAATTTTCATATCTCATTTGAACAAACTGGTCTCTGCCAATAATTATGTTCTTCACATACCTCCTACCAATGTGTGTGTTTTGCCTTCTTGTTTGGTTAGGTTCCCTTAATTGCATCAATGCTATTCACCTCGACTGGAGACAGCTTCCACAACCTCACCACGCTCTCAGTAAAGAAGCTTTTGAATTTCACTAAAATTGACAACCCTGAAACGTTAATTCTATTTCTCTGTTCATAAAGGCTGCCAGAACTGCACAGTGTTTCCAGCATTTCTTACCTTTATGTCAGATTTGCATAAGCTTTGGCAATTCACTTTAATCTAAATTACTTTGTTTTGGCAACTTTTTCAAAGAGCTATCACAAACATATTGGTTTAAATGGCCTCCTTCATGAATGTATCTCTAAGACTAATCACTGTTGTCCCTCATTTGCCATAAAATGACACTTACCCCATGATCCCGACCAGTAAGTCCCTTACCCACCTCACTGTCAGTCAGTGAGCGGGATATCTTGTGTAACTTGTCTTCTCCATATTCTGAGTCAGAGAATGTTTTTCCCGATTTCTTTGGCACCCTGGTGATGCTGTGCTCAGCAGTCGTGTTAAAAGGTTTGACAAACCTCTTCCCCATCCTGCCTTCCAGACTGCTGGAAGATGGGGATCGGCAAACAGCCATCAAAGGTGCAGGATCTTCCACAGACTGTCTCTGTAATGTCTTGTTCAAGTTCATCTGCTTTCTGACGGCCTTCGACCCCACGTAATTCACTGATCTTTCATCGTGTATTGGGTCCATCTGTTTGTCGCATGTCCCATCACAAGTGTTTTCTGAGGTAGAAGGGAAGGCAGACAAGAAACTGACTACTCACTCCAAACTAATTATTTTAATATTCTACAGTATTATTTCTGGACATGCAAGTTGAGTCAGAGATTTTATGCAACAGCTTCACTTTCATTGCATTCACAGATAATAAGCATTGCCAGTATAAGGTTTGACCTTTTACAAACAAACTTGCGAAACAATTTGGAGAGAATAGTTAAGGCAGTTCTTCGTTATCTTATTAAACAACTTTTCTTTCTGCATAGCACTCTCAGTTGTCTGAACATGTTGGGGTGGGAACCTGTGTTACCTGCTTTTCACCAATTGGAATGTTGTGCAGTAGGTTTTCTACTTGCTGAATTTTTGCACATGAATATGGCTTAAATTAAGTTCTAACTAAAGGCCAATATTCTGAAACTCTGCCTCTATTTCTGCTGCCAGAATGACCGAGTGTTTACAGTATTTTTAAACTGTGGCTCACTTAAGCCTCTAGCCCCTCCAAGATCTTACCTCCAATGAAGAATTTATTGCTACTGTAGGGGAGTCAGGTTGTTTTCTGAAGGAGATGCAACAAGCAGCTGTCTAAATTTCTAGCATAAGAGTCAGCTACTTATTCAGGAAGTGAGGCTTGCCTTGTTTAGCATTGAAAAGGACCCTACCTGACAAAAACATGCAGATGGAAGGAGGTTCTCTGGTGAAAATAGTGAGAAACTTGCTATTCTAGATCATCTGCTTGTTTAAATTCACATTGTAGGACCAACATTTAGAGTACACATTATCAACACTATCAGCTTTTCTGGTGATGACAATGCTTTAAAATAACAAGAATTACAGGCTACATTTACATACACTAAATTGTAATAATGAGGTAATGGCAGAAAGGGTAACGCCATAGATAACAACTGAGTACGGTGCAGATTTGAAAAGTTCGACTACATTAGAAACATTTCAACCTTGGGCAGTTTAAGGACTTTCATACACTGGTTATGCAATTAAGTATGTAAAACAAATGCTCCCCCCAGATGCTTCACTATCTATGACCACATTCAAAATGCCAAAACACTGAGTCTCTTTCCAGCTTTACAAACAGGACTACTCTGCAACAGACCGCTCATTTTATCTTTTAAGTGTTATTCTTGACTTGGCAGCAGTGCTCACACCCGAGACAGAAGATTGTGAGTTCAAGTTCCACTCCTGAAACTGAAGCACATTATCTAGGCTGATACCTCAATGCACCACTCAGGGCATGCTGTGGTGTTAAGGAGGTGCCATCTTTTGGCTAAGATGTTAAACAGAGGAGCTGTCTGTCCTCTCAGCAAGACACAAGAGATCCCAAAGCATAATACTGAATTATAGCAAGGGAGCCTTCTCTGGCACTCTGAACAGCTTTATCCTTCTAACAACATCACTAGAAGAGACCATCCGGTCACCTATCTCATTGCACTCAACAAGTTATCATAAACAACACACAGCTCCTGCTATTCTTGTGTTAAATATTTGACAACATTTTGAAATACTTAATTGGCTTTGAAGAACTTTGGAACATATTGAGGTAAAGAAAAGCATCAGATAAATCAAGTCATTTTTAAAAAAAGTTAGAACCTCAGCAATTTTCTAAAACAACATCTGTAAAGGTGAATTCTGTTCTGTATTTAATTTGGGTGCTGCCCCTTTAAGAGAGCTGGCCATGTGACTTAGAAGGGCAGAGCCTGGGCTCAGTCTCAAACCAATTGTGATGGTGCGAGCATTGTTAATAAAGTGTTCCTGTTCAGATTTACAATTTGTCTACCTGGTCTGGAATTCCTTGTTCCAAAAGAAGCACCAATATAACAAGTTCTAAAGCAAGCTTCCAACTAAACCTCAATGCACAATGCAAGTCCAATTATTCATAAATGTGGAGGTGGTGGGGAAGACTAGAGTGTCACTGCATGTGTTCAAAGAAATTTCATATATGCTATAGGGTAATGGAAATGATTCCATGTGTGGAGGTACATCCAAAGGGAGCAGGTTGTTGAGTCAGCGTCATAACACTACAGACTTACAAAGAAATGATGCTTTGTTTAAACTTGTTCCTGAGTACAATTGGTAAATTACCCTTACATCTCCAATTGCAGTAACAAGTTACAGATAAGAACTAACCCAAATGGAAGGACGGGCAGCAACCTCAAGCACCTTAAGCCATTTTTAAGGGTAATATTGAAATGTTGGAGCTCAGAATTATTGGCAGAAGTGAGTCAACTCAAACTCAGGGTTAATCCTCATCTTTTAATTTCTCCCGGTCAGATTCTAGATATGCCACACAATAATGATTTTTACTTTCTTGCTACACGGTGCAAGCGAGTATAGAATTGTAATGGAGGAATACCCATAATAATTGTTAGAGAAAATGGGAAAAAGGGGATAGAGTCTGAACATTTAACGTAATGGTACATCAGTCAGTGGGTCCAGATAAAGACTCTAAATTGGTCACAGCTTTTCAATTCTACATTGAGCAATGTAACATCTGTATTTAAAGTACAAATCAACCAATGATATACCAGCTAGTCCAGCATTAATTGAGGGCAACCCATAGAATCTATAACTGGAGGTAAAAATAGAGAGAATGAAGTAGTACACTGACTAATTGAAAGAGAGCCAGCATGGATTGTTAAAGCCCAAATCATGTTTGACAGGCTTAATGGAGCTTTTCTTTTTAGAAAGTGGTCAGTTGAATTGCCAAAGGAACGTAGTAAGAGGTAACGTACTCAGATTTTCAAAGGCTCTTGAAGTGCTGCGGAAGAGGTCCCTAATAGCCTAAGAGGAAATAAAGCCACATTGATAGAAAGTTGGCTGATGGTCAGGAAACAAAGCTAGGGTAAAAAAGTTGGGATGAAAGGTCACTGAACTGAAATGCTAACTCTGTCTGTCTGTCTCTCTCATATCAGCTACCTGACCTGCCATTTGTAGCATTTCTATTTTTATTTCATGTTCCAGCATCCACAGTATGTTGCTTTATTTCCTGGTAAAAGATCTTCCTGGATTGAGGAATGGTTACAAAGTATGCACCCTTGGGGTGAGAGCTGGTTCCACGTAACGTATGAATTAGGTTCTTAATCAGACTAATAACTTGATTCTTGATCATACATTATGTCCAAACTATATCAAACCCGCACTGGTATATCCCCCTGCTCACCTCCAGTAGATGAAGTCTTCATTTCGTCCACTTTAATCAGTTTCTTTTTTGATCTACGTTTTGAAGAAACTAACTTGTGGAACCTCTTGAACTTCACCTCCTGGACATCATCATCTAGCTGCTCCCATATCTGAACAGGTGAGAAATGGAATTCAGATTTAGTCTAAGATTAAGTTAATTTGTGAGCTCTACCTGATTCATGGAATTAAAATGTGCTATGTTGAATAAATGTCCATCCCCCAATGGATGGTGGCAGCTGTTTACACTGTGATTAGTGGCTCCAGTTGTCTTAGATTGATATGAAACCAAATGTTGCAGATTAAAATGAAGCTCACGGTAGACACTTACTGCTGCCAAACGTGACAGGGAAGAAATATGTAGGCCAGAAATGGGAAACAGTGAAGGCTGAACAGAGAGGGAGGAAAGGAGGGGGAGGGGGGGTGAGTGATGGGGCGATGGGAGACGGTCGGGATGGCAGCGAGAGAGGGTAGCAGGAGCCACTAATGAAACTTTATGAATGAATAAGGACAATATTGCAATTTAAGGAAAAGTGGTAAACTAAGTCCAAAATCCAAAGTAAACAAAGAAGGGGAAGAATGGGGATTACAGGAAGGCAAGTAAAGAAAACTAAGAAAGTAAAGAGGTCAAAATTGTAACACTCCCTCCTGAACAAGACACACTGTAAAGATTCAGCACTGTGGCTCACAGCCACCTTCTCAAAGGCAATGAGGGATGGGCTGTAAATGCTGACATCCCTCAAATCAATTAAAAACTAGAGAATGCATAAGACAAACTCTCAGATAATGATAGCAAAGTAACAGAATATATTCTTCACCTTAATGGGAAACATGACATTAGGAAATTAGATTAAATAAAAGACATAATGACATTTGAGTGAGAAAGAGGGAGATAATTGAAAAACTAACCAAACCTAAACAAGATAAAACTATTTGTTTGGATAGACTTCAATACACAAAAACAATTAGGGAAGAGGTAGCAGATACAAACAGATTTATTAACCAAGAGAATAGTGCCAAGAGACTGTAAGGTAGTTAATATCATTCCAATATTTCAAAAGTGCCACTTAATAGATTAGTAATGAAGGTCAGAACGTGTGGAGTTTGGGACAAAGAGCAGATTGCATGTAGAGTTATTTCCAGGATGGAGTAGGAGTTAAGGGTTGGTATTCAAATTGATAAAAGGATGGTAAATGGTGTTCTCCAGGGATCAGTGCTATGATCGTTATTGTTCACAATTTGCATCAATGGTTTGGTTGTGGGATTTGCAAATACAATTTTAAAGCTTGCAGATGATATCAATTTGGATGATGTAGCTAATACAGAGGAAAAAATCAGACAAAACACAGGAAGGGATTAATAAATTTGCAGAACAAGCATGTAATTAGGAAATGAATTTCAATATAAATAACTGTCAGGCAATGCATCTTGGCACAAAGAAAACAAGACTGCATACTTATGGGATGCATTTTAATGGAGGAAGAAGCCAATGAGTTTAGGGGTACACAGATCACCAGGAGCAGCAATGCAGATTAATAAGGCTATAAAGAAAGCATTTCCAGACAGATAGTTTCTCTAAGTCTATTCCATTTCCATTTATGGGGATGTCTAAAGCTATGAAAAATGCAACATAAAGGCATGTCTTTTGTTCCACAAAAGGTTTTTGGAGCCCGAGAGTTTCCCAGTATTAAAACAAACTTTACTCACACCACCATCAGAAGACTCATCCCATGGCTCATGGGCTCCACCTGCTGATTGAGTTGAATCCATGCTCAATGACAGCCTGCTATGGCATTCATATTCTTTGAGCTGGAAAATAAGTCATAGTCAATTTTTCTTGTGAGAAATAAAACCCAGGAAGAAAAGAATAAACAAAAAGAACAAAGTCTGTGAGTTTCATCAATAGTGTTAGAATTAGCTTTGGTTCAATGGTATTTCTCCTGCTTCTGAGTCAGAAGGTTGTGGCTTCACTTCCCACTCGAGACACTTGGGCACATATATTCCAGGCTGAATCGCTAAGGAATTGTTTGCAGGACCTTGCTTTGTGAAAATTTGCTGCTGCTTTCCTACAACACAAGAGTAATGACACTTACCAAGCACTCCATTGGCTGTATTCTGAGAGTTTGAAAGGTGTCCTATAAATGTAATTTTTCTGATTAGTAAATATCCATAATAACAGCAGAGAATAACAGCATTAAGTATTCAAGGTCAGAATTCACCACGCTTGGAAGAATTGCCTCACAGGTGCCTGAGTCTATTCTCATGGATGGGAATAGTAGTAAAATGGTGGTAAAATCTAAACATTTAGATCTGGAATTACCCTTGGAAGTGAACATCAGAACTTCCACTCAATATTACCCAAAGTCACCTTCATTCTGCTGATATCTAAACCGATTTTGTTTTAATCATTTCAATAACACAGTAAAATATAAAAGTAGGTGTAATTACCCAAAATACAACAAACAAATCAGGTCTGAGGCAAATCTCTGGACAAGGCTTTGAACACACAACCTTCTGACTCAGTAGCTGTGATAAGAAAACAGCAAATAAAGTAAGTTGACTAATATGGCCATCAGTTAGTTTAACCTTGGCAAGAGGCATCTGCATTACCTTAGCAAGTGCCTCCTCTATCGTTATCATCTTTTCTTTGACCATCATCATCAGTTCAATGCGGTCCTCATCACTCATGGTAATCTCACTGGCCACAAATCCAACATCATCTCCTTTAAAAGGTCAACAAGAAAAATATTGGGTTTGGGGGAAATGGAGAAAACAAAAAAGAATTATTGTTAATTAAGAGCCTTCGATGGTAAGGTTTTATTAGATGACCTGCCCAACAAGCTCAGCAGAATCTCAAGTTTTGAGGAGCCAAAACTAAAAGGAGGGTTTTTAAACTCCTATAACTAAAAAAAAATTAGGTAAATCATCACTGAGTCCTGTGTTACAGAAAGCAATCATTTAGCTAATTGTTCTTGTGCCATAAAATAAGGATAAAATCATTGTAGACTCATTAAAATGCTGCAATTTTGTAATCCTTATGGTACGAATTTTGATGCTACAATGCTGACCAGTACACGTCATTCATTGGTCAGAAGCTAACAGAGGGCTAGGGCAAACTCTGTAGTGCATTTCACATAGTCTAGTCACATACACTGGGGTAGGTCAGAGCAGGACATGACGTTTATCATCAAATTCGTCACTGTTGTAACCAAACATTTCAAACATGCAAATCAACAGATTTTAAAACAATATCAAATAAATCTGTCCGGTACTTTTTAACCTATCCTTAGTCTAGTAAAGACTATCTTTTACTTGTTTGCTGTCGATCATACATCTCATGTGTTATGTTCCAGGTAGTCAAACCATGATGCCAGGGAGTGTGACCTCCACTTAACTCCCCATCTCTCACCCTGTTTATCTGGATATTGCGCAGTACCTGTCCTAACAACAGTGTAAGTGTACTTACATCCCAAGGACTGCAGTGGTTCAAGGCGGTAGCTCACCACAACTTCTCAAGGGAAATAGATGCTGGTCTAGCCAGTAACGTCCACATCCCATGAATGAATAATGAAATAATTTAAAGACATACTTTGTAGAGACCCAATGGTGACCAGGAAATGACACAAAACTCTGGAACATATCCAAGAGCTAGAAATTGCCTTTGATGCATATGTTTAATTCAGGATAGATGTCCACAGTAGCTTCCACTAGGTAGGATTGCCAATTCTTATTGAACTTTAAGGTTTCATCAAATGATCTCACACCTCCATCTGTCCCTCTCAGTTGAACAGTATTTTTTCCCTATCTTTAACCCATAATTAGTTTAAAAAAAAATTAAAAGCAACTCAAAATCTGATTTTTTTTATTCAATGCCTCCTGGGAGAAGCTTGAAGCGGTATCCAGGAGATTAATCTTTAATTCATGGAAATCCCAGGACAATCCCAAAGGATTGGCACTCTAACAACGAGCCTTTAAACTCAAGTTCCTGCCCCATTGCACAGTTGGCACAAATACAAGCAGGAGTTAAAGCTCACTCCATAACAGTTTTACCTTTGCACAGCTCCCGCACTGCATTCCCTTTCTGTAACTTCCGAAATCCCTGCCAAAAGGATTTATTTTTCTTTTTGCAGTCACTACTTCCTGCAAGAAGAACACAAAATAGTCAAACAGTACTGAATTCTTTCCCTATTTTTATTTACTAATCTTAACATTCAAGTTCACGGCCACAGAAAGTTTCATGTGTTTGAACAAAATACGGTCGCTTCCTGTGGCATTGTTGGTTCACCCTGGCCCAAGGAACAAGCTCAGTGACCAATGTTCACCCTGCCCCAAGTTTGGAAGTACCATGCCCTATATTTGCCCTGATTAGGCATGACAGTCTTCAGTGGTTGGTTAGGACAGTTTAGAAGGCATTGTTGTGGGACTGAGAACATAGGTAAGCCAAACAATGTAAATACAGCAAGCTCCATTCCCAGAGGACATTTGTAAAAACTCAACCGGTTTCCTATGATCGAAAAGCTTCATGATAACATTTATTTTTACCAGATTTTTCTGTCCTGATTTTTAAAACAGAATTCACAAACTCAATTACTCTGAAAGTTGAACACATTCTGTGAATTATTAGTGCACAGTTCTAAATTACTAGTCCAATAACATGAGCACTACACAAACCTATTATTAACTGCAGTAAAGGTGAATTCCTCACTCCATGATTGACAGTATTTGAGAGTACATAATTAGGTGTTTGAACCTTTCCTTCATTTTTATACAATATTGACTTGTCAGTCTCCAATTTGTCCTCTCCACCCATTCAACTGCAACACCAGGTTAGTTTGTGTCAAACCAATGAGGATTTGGAGCTCAATGACTCAGGCACTCAAGTCTTGAGATGTTCATCACAACTGGACAGACCCCTTCAGCCCTTAAACTTGTTTCACTCTTTCATGAGATTATGGCTTCTCTGTATCCCAACTCCACTCAACTTGCCTCCTGATGCCTTACAACCTCAATAAATAAACATTTATTAATCTCAGATTTTAAAATTATTAATGTAGGCAACATTTACTACTTCTTGCGGGAGTACGTTCCACACTTTTACATTTCACCAGAATAATCTGGCTCTCAATTTAAGATTATGCCCCCAAACCACATTCTCAATTTTCCTCCTTGTCCTAAAGTCCCCCACAAACTGAAAAGATTTCTGTCAATTCCTTTCAAAATCCTCATCAATATTCCATATTTACAAGCTTAATTTATTAATGTCTCTTCATAATCTAATTCTTAGATCAAGGAAAAATGTATGCTGCATTCCTTCAAGTGCTGACTATTCTAAGGTACCAGGCCCAGAATTGTTCGCACTACTGTGTCTACTTATCAGTACTTTGTCTTCTGACTAGGTCAGGTCAGATTAGGAAGTGAAATTTATATTTATAATACACATTCACCATCCCAAGGTACTTCACAGGATTGGAGCAGAGGTTGAGATAATAAGATTTGGGTGAACAGACTTTCAAGAAGGGGTAAAATATGTTAAACATCCGAAGTTAAACATTGGTTAACCAGAGTCCAGGTATATATATTCTTCTAGTCAGGGTATTATTCCAACTCTCACACCATCAACTCCTCCCTACTGATTACTTGTTCCCCATATACACCCTGTCAAGTTCTCACCCAATTATCTCTCATATCAATATATAAACATCACCTGTTCCATAGCTGCTTTTGGTCCTGGGCATGCCTGCCAGACTCTACTAAACAATCTCAAGATGCATGAAGGCAGCTAGTGTTATGATGAGAACTCCAACCCAGGTTGTGCCAACAATGAAGAGCAGGTGGAAGAGACTAAATGAGGGAAATGACCTAGCTTGTAAATACTAAGTGGCGTAAATGCTGAAGCAAGTTGTGAGTAAGGTAGAGGAGAATTGAGAACATGGTTTGGAATGTGAACCCAGTGCAGGTCCTGTAGATGGAGTGATGTAGTGACAGTGAGTGGGATTTAATGTGGGTCAAATAAGATATATATGGATATATAATATATAAACACACACACACACACACACACACACACACACACACACACACACAGTAAAAGAGATATAGCCAAAAAGACACTCACTCATGACAGATGTAAAGAAACATCCACAAATAGAGGCAGAAACAATTGGAAAGACAACTACGGAGAGTGATGTACGACAGTTATTGACTGGGTAGAAGAAAATTAGAATTAGAGATAGATACATAAATATGGATACAAAGATTAACAGATAGTTTGAATGCCAAGCAGTAGATAAGGTAAAAACCTGAACAAATATGCAAGCCCACAAACAAATATATGATACACAAGTAAAACATCTAGTCAACAGAATGACAGATACAGAACAAGAGAGAGACGGACACACAGATGCAGCTGTAGACAAATACAGTGATAGACAATAAATAAGTGGGTACCCAGGCAGATAGAGGAATGGAAACAGAAGTTGCTGGAAGCTCAGCAGGTCTGGCAGCATCTATGAAGAAAAAAACCAAAGTTAAGGTTTCAGGTCCGGTGACTCTTCCTCAGACCCTTCTGAGGAAGGATCACTGGACCTGAAACATTAACTCTGATATTTTCTTCACAGTTGCTGCCAGTTGAGCTTCCAGCAACTTCTGTTTTTGTTCCTGATTTATAGCATCTGTAGTTCTTTCAGTTTTCAGATAAAGGAATAGTATTAATTGAACAAATGGATAGCTGGCAAACAGATGAACAAACATATAAATAGCCAGACATCAATAAAGATACTGATTGATAGATAGATTAAAAGGGAAAACGGAGGATCTTTTTGTCAAAAGATTTATCAGTAATTCTCAAAATGAAACAATACTCACCAACTGACCCATCCTCTGAGCTTGACTTGCAAATCAAATGCCTGTTTAAAGAAATAAAATTGTTAGTATGTGAAGCATGTAATTTGATTAAAAAAGCTATACAAGTAGATAAACGAATAATAAAAGCCTGCAGTTCAAGGACTTTTTAATTAACAAATCCGTTCATTGTGGGTAAACCAGAGTGCTGATGAAGTGTGTTCTGATGAAAGGTTATCATACTCAAAATGTTAACTCTATCTTCTTCCTACAGATGCTGCCAGATCTGCTGAGGTTCACCAGCAATTTCGGATTTTATTGCAGAGCTCCAGCATCTGTAGTTCTTTGTTTCATTCCTGAATTAGACGCTGCTTTTGCCCAGAGAAGGGTAAAAAAGTTAACATGGTCAGAAAAATGTGTTTGGTACCGAGGCAGAGCATGAATGAAACCACAAGTGTGGACCAATATATGAGAAGTCATAGTGATGTTAATTGCTTGGAGTCAGGATGAACTTCTAAGGTTTCTGGGAGATATATTGCAGAGAATGGTCACCTGACAGGTAGAGATAATAGGGAAAAATAGATGAGTGCGCTCAAGGGATTAGGAAGGATAGGAGCAATGAATGCACTTAGGCAGCTTTTGCTACTTAAGGGAACTAAGTATTGAGAGATTTGGGAGAGGATTCAAGCATAATAATATAGCACTGGGAAGAATGGTTGGTTTACTCACAGGGAAAAGAAAAACACTGTACATTTGAACATTCAGTTTTAGGAACTACAAACTCTCAGGGTGTTGAAATAATGCACTGTCTCAGGCACCAGGATGAGACACATTAACAAATCAGGTGGGAAGGGAAAAGAAGCAGTGGCATTGGAAGTAGAAATTGTGCTGAAACAGTATGATCAGTCAGATTTAAAGTGAATTGCAAGTAGGGCAGGAGACTTTAAGAAAATACTAGCTACAAATGGTGGACAAGTTAAGGAGAAGCAAATCAGGCAATGTGACCAGAATGGTACGGTTGAGGCACAAGTTTCCAAGGATATAAACTGGGATAAGTTGTGGGGCAACTTGTGCAGATGGGTCAGGCTGAACCTAAATTATAACAGGGTCAGTAAATAAAATGGTGGGGTGTTGAAACTAATTAGGCAAAGGTAGGGCATACCTGAAAAGCAGAGGTTTAAAATTTAAAACACCCCTTTCTCATGGCAATGCCTCAGCCAGAGTCAACTTGCCTTTCTTAAAATTTAACCAAAAGCTCGGAGCAATAACAGATCTCTGGTGCATTCACCATGTCAACACTTCAACCAGTTAACATACTTTTCTCCGGCTGTATATAAATTCCCATTTGCAATTTAGTATTCTTGTGTCTATCCTGATGAGTGCAAAATGAAAAGCTTCAACTGCAGGCCTATAATTTCAGCAATACCCAAATTCTGTACTGACCAACTAAATAAACTACGGGGCTAAGTAATAACAGAATAAATCAAAACATCATTCTGGGGAACTATACTTTAGGAAGGAGGTGAAGCATGTGGACTAAATTAGGAGTGGTACCAGGGATCTGGGACTTCAGTTCTCTTGCAAAACTAGAGAAACTAGAATTGCCCTCCTTTCAGCAGGAAGGAGATTTAATAAGTACATGTAAAATGATGATGGGTTTTGAAGAGGGAGAAACCGTTTCCACTAGCAGGTAGATCAGTGAACAGAGGGTACAGAATGAACTTTGAAGTACTTTGGCTAAAGAACTAGTGGGAAGATGAGTTTCTTTTTTTAAAAAATGCCAAGAGTTACAATGATCTGGACTGCACTGTATGATAGAGTTAAACATTTCATAAACACAAGTAATTATAACCTAATGCAAACTGTAAAAAGGTTTGCCTTTGCCCTGGATAACTTTGGATTATGAAATGAAGCTGACTCATCATTCTGGCTATGTGGCTGTCAGACGTACAGAAAGAAGGGTGGAGACAGTGACACAAACTTGCCCTTTGTGTTAAGGGAATGAAACACCACTTGCAAATACTTAGCGATGTGGAGCATTTATTTGAAAACATAAGTGAGGAAGTGTTTCAGTGATACTGTCCAGTACTGTAAACATCACTTACTCTCTCTCGCTCTCTGGTGTTGACACTGCACTCCCCAAGGCACGTGATTCCTGTGAAACAAATTCAAAGTCAGGCACCGCTAAAAAGAAAAAAAAAAGTAACTGTATTGAAATCACAGGATGAATTTAATAAATGTGGTGTGTTCCTGGACAATTTCCAGGAGGATTTGAAGGGAAGCGGTACTCACTGAAAGTTCAGGCAGCAGCTGTGGTGATGGTGAATTGGCAACAGAGCTTTCCTAAAATCAGAACACATGGAGCCTTTGTAAATCAGTAAAACGTGGCAGTTTTTCAATCCAAAATTATCACAGCCAAGTCAAGGCTAGAATCAGTGGAGCTACTGCATCCTGTTTATCAAAAGAGACATGTCTGAAAACTTAATTACAGGGATGGGACCTTTCAAAATAAGAGACAGTAAAGATTTCTCATTATGGTCTGATTGGATCTGAATCGCTTATGTAGGATTTAACCCTGAATCAAAATCTTCACTTTAAAAAGGCAAAAACATAATCTGCATCTTAAAACACTTGCTCAAAGCTTGATGCGCTCTTGCCGGATTGTGCTGAGTTCAACGTAGGAAATGCAATTGATCCATGTATAGCAGGATCCCAAAAATAACCGCAATGATCAGATAATCTGTTTTACTGATTTGTTTGAGGGCTAAATATTGACTTGTACAAAGATGAGAACTCAGTTGCTCTTCTTCAAAATACAGCCAGTGTTTTTTGTTTGTAAATTGTGCTCACCTGAGAGGCAAACAGGGCCTTGGATGAACATCACAGCGGAAAGACAGTACCTCCCTCACAGTGGAGAAACTGGTTTGAAATTTTATCTGGGTAACTGTGTGTGAATGTGAATCAGTTGGTTTACTTCAAGTCTGCTGGAAATGGTGAGGTACCAGCAACCTACATAGCTAGGTAAGCAAGGGGAGGTGATAATGTTGTGGTAATGTCACTGAACTAGTAATCCAGATTCCCAAACTAATGTTCTGGGGATATGGGTTCAAATGCTGCCAGGACAACTGGTGATATTCAACTTTTAAAAAATCTAAGTGGAAAGCTGGTATAATGATAACTGTGTTTGTCATAAAAGCCCATCTAATTCAGCAATGTCCTTTAGGAAAGGACATTTCCTTCTAGAAGGAAATGTGCCAACCTGGCCAACACGTGACTCCAGATTCACAGCAACTCATAATTGTCTTCTGATACGGTCTAACAAGCCACTCAGTTCAAGAGGCAATTAGGGACACCCATTTTGCATGAGTGCTTAAAAACCAAGGGGAAGTCAACATGGGACTGGAGGATGTGGAGTAAAGCAAGGAACAGCTGGAATTTAATTAAGCAGTCTAACAGGGCTGTGACAGGAAAAAGGAAATTTGTGCAACTGTTGAACATCCACAGGGAAAGATGGAACAGGAAAGGGATGGGGATGTGATTACCGGTATCATTTACAGCATTTGCTGAAGGTCAGGTGTTTGGAATCAGCATCCACTTTGCCCAAAATTTCCCAAATGCCAAATTTGTCTACACCAATCTCACTCTCACCTCTGGATCAGAAGGCTGCAGGTTTAAGCCTCACTTTGGAGACATGAGCATACAGTTTTGGCTAACTCTTCATTGCAGCAAGAGTAAATATGTGTACTGAGAAACTGAAAAGTGTTGGCACTGACATCCAAGCATCCACTGCTTCCCACTTGCATACCATTCGTTCTGTTGAAGTGGTTTCTGTGGTTTTAAATTTCAAGATCTGCTTGTGACAACAACTTAATGATTCAATGCTGACCAGGAAGAGCGCTCTGCAGCACAATTGGTTGCACACAAATCCTAATAATAATTTGGGACGTGGAGTATCTTTTTGAAAAAAAAAGCAGAACGCTGGACATGTTGGAAAATTGAAATAGGAACAGAAAATACTAGACACACTCAGCAGGTCATAAAGTAGCTGTGAGCAGAGAAGCAGTTAATGTAGATTTCTGCAGAAAGGTTAACAGTGTTGCTCCCCCCACCAAAGCTGCCTGGCCCAAGTATTTCCAGCCCTGTTTCTGCAGCAAACACTTTAATTTGCTTTAAGCTCACTCTTTGAGATAGCTTGCATGAGTGTTTGCAAATGTCCACGTGATCAGCACTCTGGTGTAACATATGCATGAAAAGTGATCTTGTTCTGTCATGTTTTTGGAATGCTCACCAGTTTTAGAAAACACTAAAATCAGTGGACAGTATTAATGACTGACTGATTAATTCATTTATTTTACTGCTGCACCATGGGTATCAACTGTAACCTAAGTGGACAGCACACTTACTCCTGAGACAAACCCAAATGAAATTAGGCTGATACTCAAATGAAAGCAAAGTACTGAAGATGCTGGAGATTGGAAATAAAAGCAGTAAGTGCTGGAGAAACTCAGCAGGTCTGGCAGCAGCTGTGGGAAGAGAGAGAGAGAGACAGAGTTAAAAGTTGAGGTCCATTGTGACCCTTCTTCAGACAAGAGTTGTTGCTGAGTGTCTCCAGCATTTTGTTTTTAGTTTAGGTTGATACATCCTGTGCTGTACTATCAGAGGTATGGTTTTTCCGATGAGACATTAAACTGAGCTCTGTCCGCCCCCTCAGGTGACACTAATGGATGGCCAGGCAAATACTTATTCTTCAAATGACATCACTAAAACAAATAATCTGTTTGTTCTCTCACTGTTTGCAGGACCTCGCTGTATATATACTGGCTGCCATGTTTTATACACAATAATGTCTTCACTTCAAAGCTACTTTATGAACTGTATGCTGCTTTGGCACATTGAAAGATGCTATAAAAATTAAATTTCTTTCTTGCTTTCATTCATTCATATTTTGCTTGATTTTGAATAGATCTCCAGGCAGTGTCCAAATATGCAGTTGTACACCTGTATGTTGCACCTGCATCACCCCATTGTAACCCCAATCTTTTCGGGCTAAAATTGTATCTGGCCTCAGTCAGGAAACAGCAGTGAGAGAGTGCATCACCTTGAGTAAACCTGATGATGAGTGCACCTCAAAAAAAGATCCTTTGTAAACAAAATCCTTTTGGGGATGCTTGCACAAATACAAAGCTTTTATCTTTAAATCTATCACTTCAGCCTGAACAAGCCAGGAATCAGGGAGGTGTCCAATTAAGACAATTAGCAAACACAGGGTGATTTCAAACAATGAAATTATGATAATGCAACTACATACAGGTTGTCAAGAAGAACTGGCAATGATGTCAAATACATATCCACAAGCATGATAACAAATAGATTCACAGATACACACACAGAAACCAACCACACAACACACAAAGGCATGAACCTCTACTGGATTTTGAGCTTTGAGCAAGTTCATTTGTTACAAAAGGAAACAACTATGTACTTGCATCAGAAGTGAAGGCAGGGTAATAGGAATGACAACACAAATCAGAAGTTAATTATTATTCCCATGCTTTACCTCACTCTCACACCTAACACTATTCAACGTTTCTTACCCACAAGTAGCTCATTCACGCAGGCAGCTATTCAGTCACGATAGCCACAATATATCACACACACTATATGGCACTGACTGGCACCCTATCCTTCTTTCTTGTCGGAGAATATAATGCATACAGCAGACAGCATTAAAGAACTAGAGGTAGAAAATGTGCTTGCAAATTGTCATTTTAGATTTGGTCATTTCCTAAAAAGCTTTGAACTTTAATGGTGTAGATTTTATTTTAATACTTTTTTAAAGATTCAACAAGGTGTTTTAATTTATTTTTTAAAATAACCACAACCTCATTTAAAACTCCATACAGAAGATATGACAGGATGTGGCTGAGGTCCTGGCCTACTGTGTAACTGAGGCAGTTGATAATCAGGGGATGTGCATACATCATCTCCTAACTCTCAAATCCTAAAACTCTCTCAACTTTTCTGAGTAAGAAGTGCTGTGGATGGGGAGAAATGAAGAGGAATAATCTTCTCCCTTCTCACCTCTCATTTGATACCAATGTATTAAATCTTTTGAGTCCTGTGACTTTGGAAAAAGACAGTCTTTCCTACATGTTTAAATAAAAATAAGGGATAAACATTTATTTTCAGAACACCCAAAATATAAACACATCAAAACACCACTCCACACATGCAAAACACAGAAGAAATAAAGATGTAGGGATTGTAGGAATTCTATGAAGCATGAATTTAGAGATTATAAAATCAGAATCCCTACAGTGCAAAAAAACAAGGCCATTCAGCCCATCAAATCTGCACCAACCCTCTGAGGAGCATCCGACCCAGACCCACACCCCCCTACCCTATCCCTGTAACCCCTGCATTTCCCATGGCTAATCCACCTAGCCTGCACATCCCTGAACACTATGGGCAATTTAGCATGGCCAATCCACCTAACCTACACATCTCTGGGCTGTGGAAGGAAACCAGAGCACCCAGAGGAAACCCACGGAGAGAATATGCAAACTGCACACAGACAGTCACCCAACGCTGAAACCGAACCTGGGTTCCTGGCGCTGTAAGGCAGCAGTGCTAACCACTGAACCACCGTGCCACCCAAATTATTATTAGATTATTGACAGAGCAACAATAAATAGATACTTGTCAACATTCCTTAAAATGCCAGCGGGCAACCTTGTAGGCCTGAAGGATGCTTCCTTGACTTTTTGAAGATAAATAGTGATTGGGAAAGTACTGGCTGTTTCAAATAGAATTGTGGCTGAGCTTCTGTAGCAAAGAATTTGATCTTGCAGACAAGACAAATTTTTCCCTATTTGCTGTCCGAGATGATTAATTTCAAAGCAGCATGCTTTCCTATCTGCTGGCTAATCTCTCCCGCTGTGATGCTGCTCTATTAGCACCTAGGAAAGCTATGTGCATTTTAAGTAACTTTGCCGACATATTATCTCTTTGTCTGGAAGCTATAACTGAAGTCCCTTGACTTTCTGGAGTCACATTTGTGAAGGTAGAGTCAATATTTCATGGTATGGATCTTTTTTCTTTAAAAGTAAGGTGTCCATTTCCTAATTAGCTTTAGAAGCACGACCTCACTGTTACTGAAGCTGTGGATAATGTGAGCACATATCTCCACCTCTCCCTTCCACAAAATCCAAATCTTATTCAAGATGCAATAACTGGAGACTACCCAGTTAGTGGAGCAAGGTAGAGATGACTTTGCTTAATTTTACATTTGCAGCCACTAGCTTAGCTATTGAAACTACATACATTTTACAGACTAGGATAAAACAGAATTCCCTTTGGTGAGGCAGCGGGCTCAGCGTGCAGGAAAATGATGGGTTAAGATGACACAGGTGCCAGCGTTCACAGTGTGAGGTTATACACGCACACACTGATTCTGTTGCAAAGGAGCCAGATGAGGATGTTGATGAGTCAAGTTATCAGAGATAGTAGGAACTGCTGATGCTGGAGTCTGAGATAACAAAGTGTGGAGCTGGATGAACACAGCAGACAGGCAGCATCAGAGGAGCAGGAAAGCTGACATTTCGGGTCTGGACCCTTCTTCAGAAATGGGGAGGGGAAGGGGGCTCTGAAATAAATAGAGAGGTGGGGGCGGTGATAGAAGATGGATAATGGAGCAGATAGGTGGGAGAGAAGATGGATAGGTCTAGGAGGTGGGGATAAAGCTAGTAAAGGTGAGTGTAGGTAGGAAGTGGGGGTGGGGGCTGGTCGCTGGTCAGTGAGGTGGGAGGAGCGGATAGGTGGGAGAGAAGATGGACAGGTCAAGGAGGTGGGGATGAAGGAGGGGAGCAGTGCTGGTCTTGGGATGAGGTTGTGGGTGGGGAGATTTTGAAGCTAGTAAAGTCCACATTGGGTTGTAGGGTTCCAAGGTGGAATATGAGGTGCTGTTCTCTTCCAGTTTCCGGGTTATTGGAGGCACCTGCTTCGTGCACTAGAATGCCTACCAAAAAGCCAGCGCTCAATTGAAAAGGGCTCCACTCAGGTGGAGTGTAGTGCCCAACTTTAATGGGTCTTTTGGCAGAATGTGGAACCCATCCTTTCCAATACAAGACTGAGAATTTAAATTCAATAAATAAATAAATCAAGAATTAAAAGTATGTCTCTGTAACAGCGAGCCTCATTGATTGTCGTTAAAACCTATCTAACATCCTTTAGGGAAGGAAATCTGTTGTCTTTCTCGGATTTGATCTACATGCGAGTCCAGACCCATAATAATGTGGCTGAATCAAAATGCCTTCTGAAATAGCCTTGTCAGCTACTCGTTTCAACAAATGCTGGCTTTGCCAGACACCCACATTCCATGCATTTTTTTAAAAAAAAGAACTGGAAGCTCTCACTGTTGATCATAGTTCTAGATATGAATGTTCAAAAGATTCACCAGGGCATCACAACAATACATCAGCCTGCTCTCAGAAGACTGGCAGTGGCTCCATTGAGTTTGAACCTGCAGAGCACTCTCAGGATGACAGTATTCCTGCTCCCAATTCTGACACTGCAACCCTTGCTGTTGCTCATCAACCAGCCAGTCCAGACCGCTGCAGATTCTGCAGTTTGAATCTCGGCCTTTGAGATTCATAGCTGTTGGTGGTAACTCTCCAAATTCATCAACAGTTTTCTGAATAACTGTTCAGCCACATTCCATCATTCCCATACAGTCAATAGGGAAGTACCTTGTAGGAGCACTAGCAAAGACCGAGGGAAATGTGCACGCTTGAATATTGCTGAGAAGAGGGACAAATTTCAGAAACTTTTTGATCTATGCTCATCAGGACAAATGCAACAATGTCAAATTTCAAAAGATCATAACAATTTACACTAAGGAGAAAAGGGGGGCCAACTAGTTAGGAAGTCAACTCTGATTGGCCATGACTATAATTCCCCATACTTCCAAAAATTCAAAAAATATTTCTGTGCATTCTGCCAAGGTCGCACTGATAAATTTGAATGGGGAATATGCATTTTCCATTGTTGCAAAGTGAGTGATTTGATCGTTATGAGTAAGGAAAACGTAAAGAGTGACGTACTGATGGTGAATGGGGAGAGATGGCTTAGATTATTGGCAATCACAAATTATTTGATATTTTTCCAATTCTCTCTCTTGCTCCTTGGCATCTCACCAGATAGGTAGCAAAGGCAGTCTCTTCTTCATGGCTAGATTGTGTAACAAGAGATCACAAATCTTGAGAACAGTTCAAGTGAGTAATGTGGGGCTCTTCCAAAGTGACCTAGGCAGCAGTGTTGTTCAGAACACCAACGGTGTGCGGTATCAAACTTTTGTGGCAGCATGGCTCTTTCTATCTGCAGGCATACATTGCACACCTCCATGGGTTCCAAGATAGGAGCCGGTCAATAGTGGATAACCTTTTCACCCAACAGACATCCTTTGGTTTGCCATGGTGTGATAAATGTAGCTGGCACAGAGTACTGCTGCAGAGTCAATGAACCATGACAGCTATAGCAGAATAATGAGCATTCCAATGCATGAATTCTAGCCTGGATCACACACCAGCAGCAGTTTGAGGGAATGGAATTTCTTAGATTCAGGAAAACAGCATCAAGGACTTTGGTGCCTCCCTGCACCATGGGAAAGCTTCTAATCTGCGCAAACCCTCGTTTGCCCTGTCCCCTTGCCTCTGACAAGTTTAAAAAAAGGATAAAGCTCTCTCCCTTTTTATTGGGCACCTCAACAACCTCTTAAAGCAGTCCACCAGAACTGCAAAATGTTGCTTATATCCAACAGCAGCCTGCAAGGAAGTGAACAAGTAAGAGTCAGAACTTGACTTCTCCTTGACAGCCAAAACTAATGAGATTCTTGCCCTGCTTGGAAGATGCAGCTGTAGCTGCAGAAGTTGGCAGATTTCAGTCAAAACTTTTTTCCTCGAAGTGAATACATTTCAAGGATTGGGTATTGCTGAAGTTGAGTTTAAAGAATTCCTCCTTATAACACTTGAGAGCCCTTCTCCCTCTTTACCCCTGTTTTTTGGCAACTTGTCCTGCTCTGCATAACCTCTGTTCATTCTCCCAGTCAGGCTCATTTGCAAGAAGATGGCTTTCCAGGTCACCCACATCTGGAAGCAACTCATTTAAGCCCCAGCTTTAACGACTAAACGTTTACTTCAGCACCAGCCAGACTACTTGTTACAGACTAATTAAACTTTAGAAAATTACAGGAAAGCTCCAAAAATGTGCAGAATTGCACCAGTAGCTAGAAGACATAATCCAGCAACTAACCTCTAAATATTTCACTATCCTTTTACATGGTGCTGTGGGCTTTCATCAAGCATGTTCATCGATAGAAGGTTAAGAGCGTAGAGGGTGGAGCATGACACTGAAATCAACTTTGCTTGCTGATTGGCAGTGGAAACTGCCAATGCTGTACAACTGCAGCAGTCTTTAGATATGTGCGTGCCAGCCACTCTACAGTCTGGCTCACTGCCACATCTCAGATGCAATTTCCAAGCTCAAGCAAAGAAGTTCATTTTCTTCTCCCCAATATCTTTTGTTAAAGCCCTGATTCTGCTCAGGTGAATTAAAAGATCCAATGTCACGATTTCCCTGATGCCAATTATGATTCTTCATGCAAAATTAAAAAGTGATTACCAAGTCATTTATCACGCTATCGGTTCTGGTACCTAACCTCTATGCTGTCCTGCTTAACACCTGAAATGCAATGATTCAGTTGTGGGCTATCTTTAGACATGCTCACTCCAACTAAGACTCAAAAGTTGCTCTACCAATTATTTTAGACCGCCATTTCTGTTGTTTATTTCTGAACCCACCACATAGTATAAATAAGGCCTGTTAAGAAATAAACTGGTGGTTGAGAGGAGTTGGTGTAGGAAGGATCAGTACAAATCAAATGGATAAAACCTAACTAATATTTAACTCCAAGACCCTCAAGTATAACTGAATTTGCTGTATTGCGATGTTCTCGTATAGGCCCTCAACTAACATCACAAAAAATCAGTCTCTCATTTCTTGCTGAATGTGGGACCTTGCTGTCCATAAATTAGCTGCAATGTTTCCTACAACACAACACTTAAACTACTTCATGACTGAACCACTCTGACATAATTTGAAGTCATGAAATACAGTCTTCTTTTATTTGACTGACCAAAAACACGTAGGTCTCCCAAAGGAGGAGAGAAATTTTATTTTACCAGTTCAAGCTCCTCCAAGATTCTCTGTGTGCACAGCTCTTCCATCTGTTCTGGCACCTCACTGAGGCAGGTGTTGTAGTATTCAGTGCACTGTTGAGCCAGGTCATCAATGTTTCCCAGGGATCCATCCTTTTGGGAGGAAAGAAAGGAGAAAGCACTGTGTGAAATTTCAGTCTAACGAGAGAAGGAACCGAATACCTCCCAATATATTCCAGTTGTGCATGTCCAGTCTTTGCTTGCAAACTGACTGCATCAGCTGTAGTTCAGGGAGTAGTACTCTTAGTCACGGAGTCAGAGGAAAGTAGGTTTAACCATCTCCAGAGATTTCAGCCCATAATCCACACCAACACTCCAGCACAGTACTGAGGGACCACTGCATTGTTACAGTTGCTATGTTTTAGACAAGCGATAGCTGGCTCTTGACTACCTCAGCAAATCACTTAGTTGTATTTTTTTTTAAACATAATCAGGACCATAGAACTAGAAACATAAGGCCCCTGAAGTCCTCTCCACAAGTCATTTAAAAATATCTTATGTCATCTACCTCAAATCTAATGTCCTACCCTGTCTCTGTATCCCTCGATTTCCTCAGTGTCCCAATTTCCATCAATTTCAGTTGAGTAGGCTCGTCAATTGAGTATCCACGACACTCTGGATAGAAAATTCCCAAGATTCAGGACCCAGAGTGAATAACTTCCTCATGTGTCATAAATGGTCAACCACTCATTTTATATCTAGGACCCAGTTCATTATTCTTCAGCCAAGGGAAACAGCCTTCAAACATTAACCCTGACAACTCCAACATATTTTTATATATTTCAATGAAATCAGCTTTCATTTTTCTAAATGCCAGAGAATATAGTCTATTGATTGTTTTTCATACTCCACCCCTCTCATCTGAGAAGTCAATCTAGTGAATCTTAACTGCAGCCACTCAAAGGCAGGATAAGGAGACTAAAACTGGACATTATTCCTGGTGTGATCTCACCAAACGTCATTATAGTTACAGCAAACTTAGGTAGACTTGTACTGCAACCCCTTGCAAAAGTCATTCACTTTCCAAATCACTTCCTGTAACCAAATGTAAACTTTGTGATTCTTGTAGAGGCCATTGAAAGGAATTGGAAATGCGAGATTCTTTCTTAATCATTCATGAGATTAGCATATCTTGGACAACATCAGCATTCATTGTCCATCCCAAACTGTCCTGAAAATGATGATAGTGAATCTCCTGCATGAACCACTATAGTTTGCGCAGCATAGGTACACACACAGTGCTGTTAGATGGGGAGTTTGAGAATTTTGACCCAGCAATAAGGAAGGGAAGATGATGTAATGCCAATTCAGGATGATATTTGCCAAGGAGGAGAGTCTCAGGTGATGATGTCCTGTGCTCATAATGCTCAGTTTTAGGCGGTACAGGTGCGTAAGTAGTCTTGGGGAGTTCCTTTAGTACACCTTGTACGTGATGCATACTACAGCCATGCTGTAGCAGTGGTGGAGCGAGTGAATATTTTAAGGAGGTATAGAGTGCTGATTAAATGAGCTGCTTCATCTTGGGTGTTATTAAACTTCCTGAGCATTGCTGGAACTGTACATCACAATCTTGACTTGCTCATGGTTGATGGTGGACAGGCTTAAGAGAGTTAGGTGATGATTGACAGCTGCAGAATACCCAGCTGTTTTTGCAGCCATATTATTTATTTAGTTAGCCTAATTAAGTTTCTTGCCAAGGGTGTTGGTAAGGATATTAAGGAGTATTAGTATAATGCTTACATTACTGCTCGAGAAGAGCTACACTCATGAACTATTCATTCAGAGATGTGAATTCATATCCCATATGTTAGCTGGGAATTTAAATTCAAATAAATAAAATCTGAAATAAAAGGACAGCACTGATGGCTGGGACTGTAAAACCACTAGACTGTCATTAAAATCCACTTGACCATATGGATCACTGATGTTCTTTAGTGACAAAGTCTGCCTCTTTTACCTGGTTTACTCCATTATGTCTGTCAAGACCCACAGCAACATAAGTTGACATTTAACTGCTCTCTGACATTGCATAACTAGCCACACCATTATATTCAAACTTTTCAAGAGCAATTAACACTGGCATTGTCAATGATGTCCATACTCTTCAAATGAATTCAAAACATTGATGTTGGGGGATTTGAACAAGGTTATGTCATGGTCGGTAGGAGATGGTTAGAATCCGTTTTGTTAGAGACAATCAACACCTGGCACTTGAGTGGCAAGCAGCATCTGTGCCACGCATCAGTCCAAGCCAAGTTGTTTGATATTTTCTAATCAACCTGTTCAGGGATGTTATGACACACCTCGAGCTGGTGGGGCTTGAACCTGGGATTCCTGGATCAGAAGTACAGACACGACCACTGCGCCATGAGAGACCTAAAGCCAGGCTGTCATCTGGGTCTTGTTGCACGGACTGCTACATCATCTGAGGGTTTGCAAATTAAAGTAAATATTATGGAATCAAAAACACCGTCAATTCTGACTTTAAAAGCCATTGATGAAGAAGCTGAAACTGACCGAGTCTAGGATAATGTTCTGAGGAACTCCCACAGCAAAATACTGGCACTGAGATGATTAGCCTCCTTTGTGCTACGTATGATTCCAGCTATGGAGACTTTTATCACAAATCTCCACTAGCTTCAGTATTATTAGAGCTCCTCGGTGTCACATTTAGTCAATGATGCTTTGATGTCAAGGGCAGTCATCTCATTCCAATCCCTGGAATTCAGACCTTGTGTCCATTTTTGTACCAAAGCTGTAACGAGGTCTGAAACCTGGTCTTCCTGGCGAGACCTAACACCTAAAATTCTTCCAATAAGATGGCAGAGGAGCCAGGCTTCTGAGCATGGGGCTCGTCTGCTCTGTGCGCTTTTCTTTTCTATCTTATGCTCTCTACTCTCATCTTCTTTCCTTTTATTTTGTTTTACTTACCTCTTGGTGAAGAGCTCAGTCACAGTGATAGCATCAGTGGGTGGGCCGAGCAGCGCGGATTCGTGGTCGTGACAGAGGTGGGTTTGGGTTCCTGGCGACTTGTCCGTTGTCGAGGCGGTCCTGGCGCTGACTCACAGCTGCTGCGGCGGAGGCGAGTTTGGGTTCTCGACTGCGTATGCGTCCAGCAGAGATTCAAAGGAGCTGGCAGTGGAGGTGAGTTTGGGCCCAGTACGGGACCTGGCAGCATCAGTGGTGTCTACATTGGCTAGATCCAGTGGGGACTCATAATGGTGACAGTGTCGGTGAAGGCCAGGTGGCATCCAAGAGTGGTGACTTTCACTCCAGTGGCAGTGGCATGGCACAGGGGACTCATGCCGGCCACCTGGCCCGTGACAGAGCACTTGACAAGGAGGACTGTAAAGTTGGACACTTTTTCTTTATTCTTCTGTCTTTATAGTCTATGTTTTGATTTATTTTTCTGTGTTTTAAGATAGCACCATACAACGCTTTTCGCTGTATTTTTGTAACAAGATACACTTGACAGTAAATAAATCAAATCAACTGAACATCAGCGAGCAGATTATTACAGAAGTGCTGCTTGTCAGCATTGCCCGTAACATCGCTTCCCTGATGACTGCAAGTAAACTTGGGGAAGTACAGCCCAGCTGGATAAGACTTGCTTTCTTGGGAACAGAACAGATCCTGGCATTTTCCATTTTGTCAGATAAATGCCAATGTTGTACCTGTACTTATTTTACCATCTGCATTATCTTTGCTTGTTGTACTTGAATGCATAGCATTTCCACGACATTGTGATGGTTAAGGTCAGCTATGATGGAGAATATCTGAACCCTTTGAAATCCACTGCGAGGTCAAAAAAATTCATTTTTTCTGCTCTTTGTTGCAGTCATGTGACTACAGGTCATATACAGAGGGTGTCCACTTACACATCAGAATCGATGGACAGCTGTTTAGCTTATACCCACCTGAGATCCAAGAATAAAGTGCGCCAAGTCCTCAATACATTTGCTTCATGCCAATGATGCCTCACTAACATTCCATTCTGAGAAATACCTGCAGGGACATGGACTCTCACATGTCTGTTGAGAATTTGATTCGACCATCAGAATCAGGAACACCAACATCATGGTCCAGAATATAGCCATGATGCCATCAGTCAGTACTGACATCATGACAATGGATGTTGTTGATCCTGCATATATCTAAGTTTCACAAACAGAATAGCTGTATACCCAAAGACCCTGTGTATGGTGAACCAGCCATTGAGTCATGACCTGCTGGATATCCATACCTCTGCTAGAAGAACAGCTGCAAGAGAGCTTACGATGGTGGCAGACGCGGACCCAGACAACTGGAAAACAGCTGCCAAAAGGGTGTGATTGCTGGGAGGCTGACCAGTGTTTGTGGTGTGTATGTATGTTGGGGCTGGGGGTCCACTGGAAGAGATATAAAGAGGAATGGAAATCTCAGCTGGCCAAGAAGAGAGCCCAGAGAAAAGAGAAACCAGAAAATCCTGCACTTTCTCAATCCACTGTCTACATCAGCAGTGAGCGCAGCAGGCTCTGCCATGCCATAAGAGTTTTTGAATGACACCTGGTGATATTATACACAGTTTATCACCAAGGTGCAAAGGAGCACCTCACAACACAGAAGGCTGCCAAAGATTACCTGCACGTTGACTTTATGGTTTATGTGCAAGGTCACACAAATTCCATTAAATCTCAACACTTATTGTACACTCATCTTTAAATACAAATTGTTTCCTCATCATCCCAAAGTGGATAATTTCATACATCCCTTTATTATATTCCAACTGTTACCTCTTGTCTATTTATTTACTCTGTATGTATAACTCTATATCCTTGGTCCAGTTCTCCTCACAGCTTACTTTCCCTGCCCAGTTTTGTACATTCTGCAAAACATGAACACATTACTCTTGGTTCACTCATCTGAGCAACTGATACAGATACAAGTACATAAGTATCTGAGATCCAAGCACTAGCCCGGCAGCACCTCACGAGTTATAAACTGCTATCCCAAAAATGGCATATTCCTTCTCTGAATCGTGATAGCTGCCAGCATATGCACTGACGCACACATCCTGAAAATATCATTTTCAATGATTCCACTTTTTTCAAGTT